TGTGTGTGTGTGTGTGTGTGTGTGTGTGTGTGTGTGCCACAATTCATCACAAAAAATTGTTTTGATGACGAACTAATTTTTAGATTTAATTTGTTGATTTATTGAAAATAAACATCTATTTTCTCGGAAATATTTATTTTAGCATATTTTGAATCGTTTTTGAATAATTTGAAAAGATTTGAGTGAAATTAATATTCTCAACAATACGATTTGTTATTATTTTGATAAGTGTCTCTTTCTTTTTTATACACATTGTATCATTTGAGATATAAATATATCATATTTCAGTCTCGAACACATCAGCTGTTGAATGCAAATCGTGAATTGCTAGAACAAATGCAAGCGCTTGTCTTAAGGCTTCAATCACTCGAAACAAGACTTGGCGAGGAAATTCAAGAACAAATCACTCACCCGGTGCAATTTTTTTCCACTTCTTTTTGCTTGTGAAAAAAATAAAAAAAGCTATAAAGCATTTTATCCTCTTGTTTGTATAACTTTTTTAATAATTTAGTTTCCGATAGAATGAACTGATGAAATTTTAACCAGTTGTAATTTTTTTCAAATTCAGTTCAAGTTCACATTTCAGTCAACATCAAAGGGACAACCGGAATGCGCAACGTCACCAACTAAGGCTACAGAATCAAGGCCAGCATCACAGCTGACTACTTCATTGCACGAACAGTTTAAGAGCGAAGCGAAAGTTCCCGGACCACCGCCAGTTGACCCTTCAAAACCATATCAGGTCGCAGTAACTTTTATTTCTTTCCGATGAAATTTACATTTTAGACTCAGTTTATACCGATTTTAAATTTCATTAGTTGAGGATTTTTTAGTTTGAAATTTAAAACTTTATATCACTACACATTTTTAGTTGCAATCGTTAGCAGATATACGCGCAGGCTCGTTACCACCTCAGGGAATTCAGTCAAAGACTAATTTCTTAACAAAAAATATGCGTATGGCAGACGATTTTGAAGCCCGAACTGAACCAGAAAGCGGAGCCGAGGTATTATGATCCAAGTTTTCAGAGTTTTTAAAATAAATATACCATTGAGGCAATCAGAATTTCAGTTATCTAATTGCAGCGATATAGTATTTATTACGTTAAATATCGAGAATAATCAGTCTGTCGGCCGAAATGTTAACATTTTAGACCTTCGACCTTCGTCCGCATAAGTGTTGTTGATTTACTCATAATGTGTTATATGCTGCTTTTCAATGCTTTTGGATGAATTTCACGGTTTTTTTTGTTGATTTAATTTCATAGTTGACCCACCGATCAAAGATAATCTTCCCTTGCTGCAATTTTTTCATATATGTTTAGTCTTCCTATTATGAATCAATGGACTCATCACTAATATAGTTTTTCTTCCTTTCGAAAATCTGAATTCTTCCCTTTGAAAATTTTAATTTGAAAACTACAGTGCAATTTTTGATAAAAAAGTTTCTAATAATGGACACATTTTTACAAACTTTCAGGACACGACAGATTATAGTTCTTCGGATCAATATGAGAAAGTACCATTCCCAACAATTCAACAACAACGATTGGTACCTTTGCACGAACCGCATTTAGATGTATTAATGTCCAACCCACAGGTGAATAAATTTCTAACAATGGTTGATTGATATTTTAATTAATATTCTTCGATAAAGGATTTAAAGAATATAGAATTAAGTAATTTCCTGCCACTCGCTAAATATGAGACGATTATGGGATCACTGTCATCAGAAAGACTCTATCTTCTTTAAGTCGAATACTCGAAATGTTTCTGCTCACTATAAATTGATAAAATTCATTTGTCTAAACTTTTCACAAATTTAATTCAGTTCATCATTATCTGTAGGTAATGCCAAATTTGTCGTCATTTTTCTCTACTCAGTCATCATCCTCCGACAGCTACGTTCCCAATTATCTGGCTTATCCAACACGAAGTCAGAATCCCGAAATAAGCAAGGTTAATGAATAACTATTTCTTTGGCAGGCAAATTTTACTGGCATTTTCGTATGTATATTTATTAACGATCAATCACGGCACACGAATCAATGGATTTTTATCTCCCTAATAATTGTCATATTTATAATATAATTACTCTAACATCCTAACTGTCTACATTTGATCAGGTCCTGCGACCTGAAACATCTTTTCGGTCACATAAACAATCTCTCCATTGATTGTGATTAATTTTTTCAGGATGATGAGGAACAACAAAATTCTACATCGCTTTCTCGGCGTATGAAAGAACGATCGAAAGGAGTGAGAGATGGAATGCTCTTCAAAAGAATGTCATTCAATCCAAAAATTTGGGAAACAAAACGGAAAGATGTGGAAGCAATTGATAATACACTTACGGAAAGTATAGATGAAAGCCAAAACATGTCAAGAAAGTCTTATGAGTTCGGTTTTGATCAATAATTCTATAGGATTAAATATAACAGAAATGAGGCAATATAACAGAAATCATGCAATGTATCTTTTAATTAAAACATAATTGTAACGAAGTTAACACTGGTTTAAATCAAAGAGCTAATAAGTATGTTCTTATGGATCTAGTAATGATTCTTGGTCTTGTGTGAATAATCTACAATCTAAAATAGTGAGTCATCTCCGAACATAACAATTATCATTCCAATACAAAATGCTTAATCAGATTATTGCAGAAAACAAAGGCTAATGTCGAAAGATGAAAGTGTCGATAATAAAAGGAAAAAATTTAATCAACTTCGAACAGCAGCTTCAGTGGAACCAGGGACATCAATTGTGGAGGAACGGTATAAGGAACCATCGAATATGTACGTTTTTTCATTATTCATAAATAGTTCCTAGAAATTATACAATTTTTCTATAGTTTTATTGTTTACAACATTGTTCTAAAATTTAAAAAAAAAAATTTTACAAATTGTTTGAGTTAAAAATATAAAAATAATAATGATAAATTTAGGGGAGAAGTGGAAGTGCGGAATAAAATAAATTCGTTAAGGCGAAAATCCTTGTCTTCTAGAGGGCAATTGGAACCTGCTTCATCACATATAGCAACAGCTATGTATCCACCAAGATTGATGGGAAAACTGATTGCAAAGAAAACAGAGTTACATAATGTAATGATTAATACCGATAATTTGCACACATAAATGATTTATCAGTCACTTCAGACAATTATGAGTAGTTAATAAATCGTTGAAATTATTTGAAAATCATGTTTTAGTTGATTTTTGGGTCGTTTAATGCGAATTTCAAACGACAGAAAACATCTTGTCTTAGAAATACTGATGTTTCTTGTATTAAGATCGATAGAATGCTTAAAATGAGCTGATCTTTAAAAATCCTGTACTTTCTCAGTGATTGAAAAATCATATATAATCGTAAATTATCAATCAATCTGCTGTTTTTGTCAAAAAAAATTATGGTTAGATAGCAATAAATTATCTAATTTGATCTTGCAGAAAATGGATGATGAAACAAACTTATAGTACAAGATAAGAATTATAAAGAAGAAGTAAAAAATTTTTAAATCAAAATTATAAAGAAGTAAAAATTTTCAAACAAAATTCATGGTTTAAACTTTGAATTTTGACCGTTTATTAGAACTCACTTTTTAATTGTGATTTCTTTATTGAGTTTCAATTTGAATTTATAACTGAATTTATGATTAAATTGAAGTGGCTAATTTATTGATTGGAATCGATATGAAGTAATTTTGAACAGTTCTTGTTTAACGTGATTGCTTAAACGATTAAATCAAAATAATGAAAAACAGTCATTGAAGAAAGTAATTTCAGAGAGTCTCACTGGACATCGAGGAAGAGGCACCCACCGCTGAGCAACAACAATCCACTACACTCATCGGTAATGGACCTATCTCATCGCTACTATCCCGTCGAAAACTGGCAAACCATATTGGAGTTTTGGATGAAAAAGAAAAGGTACGAAAAACTAGTAATAGTGGACCGAGTCAGATACTGATATTGCAGGAAGCACTGAAACATGGTTTGGCTAGCACTAGAAAACAATTAATTCAGACTAATGAAACATTGGATGGAATGCGAAGGTTGGTAACATATCATAGATTTTGACTTCCAGAAGTAGGGATTTCAATCAGAGATTGAATAAATCTATATGTTGGTTCACCTGAACAATTTGATCTGTTTTTTCGATAAAAAAGCTATATTTTTAATAATAAGTTTACAGTTAACAGCAATAATGAAAAGGAATTTTTTAGTTCATTACGATACACGGAATCAGAAAAGAAAAAATTAGGTGATCCGATGGTATTGGCGAAGCTCACCAAACTACCGACCTTTATGTCTGCAGCACCTGATTCCTCGGAAGAGGCATACGAATCACCCATAACATCACGAAAATCAACAGATGATTCGGGCACTGTCGCAGGACAGAATGTTGAAGTTCCAAAAAGTGATACGGGAGTCCTTTAGAGGGTTATTATTTAGTCGACATAAGAAATTGATTATATTAGTACCTTATAAAAAGGATTTACTTTACTTCCATTCATTCCATTTTTGACGCTGTCAATTGTTTAAAATTTGAACAAAAAATCATTGCTAACTGCCGCCATTTTCCTACATATCCGAAAATTACTTCGTGATGTCATTGAAGATTGCAACAACTTCAAAATTTTCGTTTATTCCTCTCGAATGAAAGTTAACTGTAGGAAACATTAAATGGCAGAAATGGCAGAATTGTTGTTGACAAACTCCTTATCCAACCGATCTTAAAATTCGAGTAAAGGGTAATTTTCTTTTTGATTTTGCGGAGTTACTTTTACAATTTATGTTGCAATTTGACAGATATGTTTGAGACGGCGAACGATATCCTCTAGACGTTTGAATAAATTCATTAATATTCGGCTCAATTTAATTTAATGATGAAAAGCCATCTCACAATGAGGAAAAAATATACACACAGTGATAAATGGATAACGTTTTAAAATTGTTGCGTCGTCTTTCTCAATTTTTATCTTTTATTATTATTGTTAATTTACACATGAATTTTTTATTTGTTGTAAACATGAAAATATTTGTAAATTTTTAATACTTATTTAATACTTATGAACTGTGAACTGTCATTTTGGCGAACTGTGATAGCTTGCAAAGACACAATCGGTGATCATTTAAATGTATTTTTCAGAAGAAAAATAAATATGCGAATTTACTTTTAATATGCGAAATTAACTTTTAATTTGATCTATCATTTTAATTTTTGTTTGGCGATTTATCCAGTTCTTTGATGAAAAAGTTGAAAAAGTGATTGTTTTTGTGCGAGCAATCCTTTTTTCCTCGGATAGCTTGAAGATATTGGACTTGTTTGTTTGTTTGTTTGTTTTTCTTTTTTTCTGGTGAATGAAAGAGTGGTTCAAATGATAAAAATGAAAGAAATCTCATTCTGGCTGTATTATACTACAAGGCAAGCCAAATGTTCGTTTTGTTTTTTCACGTATACGATAAGCGTAAATGATTTCGGAAACTATTATCACTATTCCTAATTGATTTTTCATTCACTAACTTATTTTGAATTTCTTTTTTCCTTGATTTTCCTTCGCTTTTTATTTGATTCTTGCTAAATTACTATGTAGAGTTTTTTTTTAATCTAAGTTTCTTGATTTTTTTTCTGATAGTCCAAGAAAAAACAATGATGGAAACTTCAACATCTCTCATTTCTTTCCGTTGCGAGTATAAGCAAAGTGGAAAGAATGCTGAAATATATATCAAATAAAAGGAATGAATGATCATCTCAAATTCATTTTTACTATTCAATCAATCAATACCCTGACGCATAATGTCCAACGAAATTGGCAAATTTTAATTCATGGATTCTGAGCATTTCAATAGGTCTTTATGAAAATTTAATATAAGCAAAGATGAACTATCCATTCTATTTCTTTTTCATTTCATCTGGAGAATTTAAAACTTTAGCAAAAAAGACAGAAACAAAATTTTTAGATTATAATTTAGATTATAATTTAACTTCAACATCCAACTGATTTTAAATAAACGAATTAGAAAAAAAATTATTTCATAGCTTAAATTTGTTATCTTATCCTTTGAAAGTGTTGTTTTTGAAAAAAAATAATGGGAATAAATTTGCTGAAATGATTTTGAAAAAATAAAAAGTACAGTTTTTTTAAAGCTACACTTGAATCAAATTAATCAATAAATTCATTAATTGTTATTTGATAATTAATTAAAATGTGTGAACGATTTAGTATGGTTATTTCAATAATTTTAACAGTGCTATGCCTAATTTCTCTATTCTATACAGGTTAGCAATTGAAACTGATTAATGATCAATCAATAATTTAGTAATAGTTCTATAATTTTAACTTATAGTAATAGTTCTATAATTAGTTCTATTATTTTAATTCATAGTGCATATTGTATTTGCCTTTAAAAAAATTTAAACAGAAATTTACATAAAAGTAAAAATATTCTCATTCATATATGTTATCATTAAAATGATTCGTTGATTTGTATTGGGGATGATATTCTTGCAAATGTTAATTATAAGTTTTGAAAATTTCAGCATCCGTTATGATAACATTAAATAGCCAAGAATGAAGATAAATGATAAGAAGCATACGGCAACGCCATGGATAGCAATGAATGCATTCGTCCAATCTTCTTGATAATTACTTGTCGCGGATGACTTATCATTTTCATTCAGTGATATGCAATTATCCGTTGAATTAAACACGCAAATACATCTATTGATAAGCTCGGATGTCCTAAAAATCTCAAATTAAATGAATTATTCATTTTAAAATGAACAATTTATTTCTGTTTATTTCTATGATAGTATATATGGAAAGTAAAGTAAAATTAAATAAAATTATTATTTTCTAAAGTATCCTATTGCATCTTAATAGAATATGAAGTGGAAATTAAATCATTGATAATTTTACATTGCTGTAAACGGTATTTCCAACTACTATTGCACTTGATCAATTAATGAACTTTGTTATTTGAAATTACAAAATCTTTGAAAATCTGAAAAAACCTTATAAGCCAATTCCATGGTGGAAGATTTCGACGTATTTTACTACACATCCATAATATAATGGATATAGATATACTGAATATATTAATTATTGTAGCAAATTCCAAAAATCGTACTGGAAAAGGAAGATTTTTTGTTCAACTTTTATTATATATTTCCTTAATGAGATTTGATATTTGTAAAAATTCGTATCATTTTTTCAGCAAAAATTTCTAAATTTTATTGTTCCAAAACAAAAAAAAAAAGAAAAAAATTGAATTTATTTTAAATTAAAAAAGCTTTCAAAGTGCATACATATAGTTGGTGTTGAAGCTGAGGAGCCGAGATGTGGTGAAATAAGTGCGGAAAAGAGTTGAAGTGTTGAGAATTGAAGAAAAAGTACAAACATCTTTGCAAATATTTGCAGATGAATTTGTCCAAGCAAAGGTGTTAAAAGAAAAAGAATTGATGTAATTGTATTGGGTAACGATAATTCGATATATAAAGATTTTGCGGAACGTTTTAAATTTAAACAAAAACCAAGCTGAAATTATCCAAAATAAATTGAAATATATAAGTTAAATTTTGGCAATATCATATTTTTGCAAAACATTTTACTGTTCCAAACTTCATTTTTAATCAAATTATGAGCAATTGATGAGATTCAATAAAATGATTTAAAAGACTTGCATATAAAATTGTAAATATCAATTAGTACCTGTGGAATCTGTGAATCTTGCATTATTTGAATATCCGGTGTGCTACCGGAAATGTACCAACCATTATCACGGAAATATTTTGCATCCGTGAAAACTGGTCGACCTGAGGCGACAAATTCTATTCCACCCTGAAATGTTCATTTTACTGATATATCATACTGAGTATAAATATATAAATATATGCTTAAGTTTTAAAATTTCATGCAATTTCCGTTATCACAATATGCGGAAAAAAACTTATCTCTCATTGGACAGATAATTTTTGGGTTATATGTTTCATTCAACTTGTACGAAATATAAATCATGATTTAGATTTTAATCAATTAAAACGATTTCACTAAATGCAATTTAGCATTAACTGCAACCATTTTAACTTAAATTTTTTTTTATTTTACCTGATTAATATGTGGTTCGATTTGATAACAACACTTGTACATATCATTTGGAAAATTTTTGAAATCCGAATCATCACAGAATGTCCGAAGTGAAAAATTGATGATAGCACGGATAGTGCCGTTACTATTTATCGATACGCGTCGTATTTCCATCACATCACCGTTCCGAAGTGCTGTATCAAATCTAAAAAATTTTGTATTCGAGAAATTTTGAATTTAACTTTGAAAAAAATTCTTGATAAAATAAATTACCAAATATTTGTAAGAATACGTAATGAACTATATTTTATTTTAAACAATCTATTATTATTA